AGTGGTACGGTAGCTGAACAGACTTGGAAGTTCTTTGGGAGACCACTCAGTATTACATGGGATGATATACCTATTAGAGTTATGATACAAAGATGGTGGGACATCAAACCAAAGAACTCTATTCATCAAACTATTCTTCAGATAACACCTGTGGTAATCTTTTGAGAGATATAGAAGGCCAGATGCTTAGTAAGATATGGCGATGCTAGAGTTTACTTGAAGAGAATACATTACCAGATTTTATCCCACTTGAAATGGGTGATATCAAAGGCTAAGTGTAATAGGCAGTGGGCAGGGAGTTGGGTAGATATCTGTCAACATGTGTTATTACTTATTCCTAAAATTGATTACATAGTTGTTAAATGGCATAAACTTCCTGAATATTGGCTTAAGGTTAATACTGATGGAAGCAAAGACGCGGATGAAAATTCGGGTATTAGTGGCATTTGCAGAGATCATAGGGGTAAGCTAACTATGGCGTTTGCTTCTTTAATTGGCAGAACAAGTAGCAACATGGCTGAAGCTAGTGCAGCCTTAGCGGGGGTGGAATGGTGTAGTCGCAATGGTTGCAATAATATTATACTGGAGTGCAATTCCCAGCTTGTGGTTGATTTGATCAATGGTAAATCAAAACCTCCTTGGCAAATACAAGGCATTATCAGACAGATTCAAGACATTGCCGGTCAACTCAATTGTGTTATTCGCCATTGTTATAGAAAAGCTAATCAAGTTGCGGATGCATTAGCAAAATGGAGCATTGACAATGAAGAACTTCTTATTTTCTCCCATCATGATCTTCTTTCTTCTGCAGTTGGACCTTACAGATTGGATTACATCCAGATGGTGTCACTAAGGCATAAACATAGGAAGAATACATTTTTGTGAAGAGTTTTTGTTGATTGGTAGTATGCCAAACAGCACAGAGCACTTTTGTTTATGTATGTAATGCATAAGGGCAGTAAGTAGTTAGAAAATAGGGGCAGTCGTTGCCTCCTTTGTGCGAGGTAACAATATAGGCCCTCTTCATATTTTTGTACTCTTTGTTGGTTGAATGATAGGGCTACGCCACCATACGGCGTAATTGTTAAAAAAAAAAAAAACTATACACGTTATTTTATTTTATGTTTTACTTTAGATTAAAATTATTTTTCTATCACTAGGAAGAAGCAAAGCTTTTTTAGGCAGCCCATCTCACCTTTTTATTAATGCAAGGTCTTGTCAAATTGTAAATAAAATCTTATAAGAAGCGTTACGTTAAGTCTTGAAACTGTACTTTTAGGGGTCGTTTGGTACATGGTTCGGGGATAAAATTTGGGATTAATTTTATCCCATATTTGATTTGAGGTATTAACTAATTCCGGGATAATTTTTACACTAAGGGCTCGTTTGGTACGAGGGGTAAGAGATAATTAATTCTGGGATTAAATTTGAGATGAGTTAATCTCACATTTGGTTGGAATAAAATCGTGCTATAATTAATAATGAGATTAGTTATCCCAGGATTGTAGTATTTTTTTTTATCCCAATGTGAGGATGAGATAACTAATTCCGGGATAATTAATTATGAGATAACTTATTTCCCAACCAAACGACCTCTAAAATGATGGGATTAATTAGTTATCCTATATAAAAGGTGGGATAACTAATCCCATGAGATATCCCGGGATATCCCATCATTGTACCAAACGACCCTTGAGGTTTTTACAGGAGTTAAATTTGTAGTCTTTCGCTAACGAGAGGCTGAATTCAATACACCAAAAATCTATAAGAATCACCCGAACATGGATGGAAGTAGCAAGCTAAACCAGTATTTAGCTTTTAGGGGATTTTTTGTGGCGTTGATTTTGCAGAATCGTCTCTTCTTTTGTCCTACTCTTCTTTTTTCTTTTCCAAAAGTACACTTTCTTTCTCACCTAGGTTAGGGCTCGGGAATATATATATATATATATGGTAGCGTGGGGTGGGAGAGGGGGTAAGTTTTTTATACATATAATACTTTGTTGAAAAGAAGTTGCGCAAGATTAAAATTAGTAAATAAACCTAAACGATAGAGAACGGAATTTAGTTTTAATGATACGTAACATGTCACGCAACTAATATAATATACTCCACTTAGTAAATAAGTTCCATGCTTAAGTGACAAGCAATGGCTTGAATATCTAGTCTGACAAGATTAATTAATAATTAAAGCCATAGAATAATACCTTCCAATCATTTTTTCAGGAAAAAAGAAGAGGGAATGTTAGATCCAAACGGAACTCATCTCTCAAAAGTGTGTTCACAATTTCCCAAATGAAGAACATGTTTTCATGAAAGAATAAAAGTTTTAGCACTACCCCCCTTAATTTACACTCAAATATAATTTTCCGATCATTGATTTTAGGAAGCAACTATTGGCAGGGCACTCTACCCTCTACCTCCAAACTCCAAAGGTAGTTGACAGAGGAGGAGCTAGACTATTAATTAGGTGCGATTTTGGCTAAATCTAGTTACTTTTGCTTAAATATTAGTGTATTTGTATTAGAGAATTCATTAAATATGTATAAATATTCAATTACGAATCCCGTAACTAAGACGAGCTATGAATTTTATGGTAAATTTAGAATCCATAAACTTTAAATTCTAACTCCGACTATGATGATTGATGAGTAAAAAAGTGTATATGTATGTTCTACCCCCACCCTACCCACTATTTGGTATCCATTTTGGGACTCCTATTGCAATTATTTTTGGGGTTTTGAAATTTAAACCCAAAACTTCTGGTTAACAATGAAAGATATGTGTGTTTGGCTATCTTGAAGGGAAATATTTAATATTTTGATCAAGCAATTTGATAGAGTTATTATAGGTTACAAATCAAATTTAGATATGCGTTGTTGTTCAGTTGTTAATAAGGGAAAATTACAAGAGAGCAATTAATTCCTTGGTAGACTAACACAAATATTGTTTAAACATTACACAAAGAAAAAGTTTTGGAACTTTGTACATTTTTAAAGGTCCAACTACTCTAGGAAACAGATAACTGAACTTTGCATAATTGAAGGTCGATCCTAATAGCTTAAAATGATTTGTTTATNATATATATATATATATATAAAAGCTAACAATGAAATGATTAAAATGCCATCTATATATTAGAAATTGACTAAAAATACACATTGTCACGCATATATTAATCCTTTTACTCTTCTACTATATATAAGATACACACACTCTCTCTCTATATATCTTTAATAAACACTCCATCCGTTCACTTTTACTTGTCAAGTATTTTAAATATAGATTTTTTTACTTTTACTTGTTACTTTTAGCATATCAAAAGAAGGCACTTTCTTTTTTCCTGTTATACCCACAATATTAATTACTCATTTTAAATTATTTTCTCAAATCCATTAAAAATATGCATCAATTAATATGAGTATCATGATAAATTATGCACTTCATTTATTATTTCTTAAGGGACGTGAAAAGTCCAAAATGGACAAGTAAAAGTGAACGGAGAGAGTATCAAATTATAAGGTGGCGTTTGGACAATATGTTGGAAAATGAACTTTCAGATAGCTTGAAACTAAGACGTAATTATTATAATTGTTTTGAAAATTAAATATTTCTGAAATAAGATTTCTGAATAATTTGCCTGGTCAATTAATGGGCTTCAACAAAGGGTTTAATATTTTGTTCCACTCAAGAATTATTCCAGGCACAGTGGGCATTTCTTGAGAATTTATGCTTAGAGAAAGAAGGTTTATGAACATTATTTGGCTTCAAAAAGCCAAAGATATACCTAATGCAATACAAACAACGCACCCTATATTACTATTAAGTCCACTTTCCCTTGGAATTAATTGAGAGCAAGGGACATAAGGAAATAATTTTTCTATAAGAAAAATAATTTTAGTGTGCCCTTATTTTAGGTGATGAGAAGGATTGGATGTTGACCTATCAACAAAGGGGATAATACCAAAAAAACCATTTCAAAGCCTTGATTAGTTAATTATGAAATACAAGTGGAAGTGATCAACTTTATTAAAAAAATATTTGGTTGATAGGCTACAACAATAAAGCTTGAAAATCGTTTCTATATTTTTCTTAGGCACGTAAAAAACTCCAATATACCCTAGTCCCTATCCTCCTCCCCTCCCCACACACTTGGAATTTTGTTTTCTAATAAAAAATTACTGTACTTTTCAAGTTTTCAAACTGAGGTATCAAATTTGCAGAATTCAAAGAAGGGGGTAAGGTGATTTTTCTCACTTTGCTCTGCCTATTTAGAGGTGGAGAAAAGGACAAAATATTTATTTGCCCACAAGTCTGCACAAAATAAATTAATGCAGTACATGTCAATTGCAAATAATTTTTTTTAAAGTGATATGTAGTATTCATTTTAGTAAGTACACTAAAAGGTTAAATTGCTTTATTTGCTGCAAACATCATATGCATGTACATATGGCGTATAAAAAGTATCTCGTTAGAACTTTAAATCATTTATTTCTCTCGCTTTTATTGTCTTTTTTGTGAAATAAAACAAATTGCTTATTCAATCAATCCATTTTAACATGATTCTTCTATAAAAATTTTGCTCTATTCAAATCCATTTCATCCCTATGTTAGTAAAAGATTTGTTTGGTAATCTTTGTGTTAGTACGTACAACCAACCCATGGAAATTATAGTTCAAATTTCAGCATAGACAAATAATATGGTACATTATTTTTTAAATCTGCTTAATTATTAGTGGACATATTTACACGATGCATATGCTGATCGGAGATAAGATTAAAAAAAAAAACACCTTACAACCAAAAATATCACAAGGACCTTATGTTCATCACAAGTTTGGTGGTCTTTGTGTTTGCAACTCTTAAGGGCAGTAGAAAAGGGCGAATGAGAAACAACAGGCAGTTAGATCCAGTGGGTTTCTGCAGCCAAAGACCCCTCACTAATGTCTTTTTTCTTTCATATGTATTATAGAGATTTGTTTTGTGTGTTTTCACTACACATAAAAATTTATTTTTTGTTCTCAAACCCCACAACAGGCTTTAGAGACGACAGGTTTGCAAGGACAAGCTTTTATGGACCATGGTTCTTCTTAGACCAGTAAAAGATACTCCCTCTATAGCAGTTTATGTGTCATAGAAATGTTATGATATGTACCATATTGTATAGGTTTTAGACAAATATTAGAATATATTTACGACTATAAGTTTTAATCTTTTTTTCTTGAAACTTGGGTACCTATTAGATTAAAAAGGAGGGAGTTAAAAAAAAGCTGTCGACCTATAGTAGAAAGACTGGACCCTCTTGTTGGCGGCTCCTGTTTAGATAGATAGACAAGTGTTATATATATGTGTATGTGTACACACATATTATGCTTTGACAAGAAAGCTTTGATCTTTATTGCTCCTCACTCTTCCTCTTTAGTCTTTAGTTTTTGCTCCAGAAGAAGAATTAGAAACAGAGGTAGAATAATCCAACAAGTTAGCAACTTTCTTTCGTTTTCTAATAGTATAACATCTTTAAATATATTCTCTAATCAGAAGCCCAAGAATGGTCTAAAAGGTGTTTGCATGGCAAGTGAAGGAATTGGAGAGACTGGTTTAACAAACTCAGGACCATCAAATCTCCATAATATGCCTTATGCCGTTTTTAGGGGGCTAAATCCTGCTAGCACAAGCTTCATGTATCATTCTACTCCCAAGTAAGTATATATTCATGTGATGAATTCTGTTTCTTCCTCCTTTTTTCCTCTTAAATTTTAGCATTTTAAGTTTGTTCTATGTGTTAACATTTTTCTTTTGTTGTAAAAAAATTTGTGCTATAGTAATCAAGAAGGATCTTTTGATTTTGGAGAGCTAGAAGAAGCTTTTGCACTACAAGGATTTAAGATCAATAATGATGAAGCTAAAGCATGTATGCTTTTTTTCTCTTTTATCTCTCTCTCTCTCTCTCTCCTTTTCTGACGTTTGCAATGTAGAGTGGTTATGGAGTTAGAATATGTCAATGGAAGTCTCATTTAAGGGGCTTGCCATTTTCAGTACAATAATCATTCTTGTGGCAAAGGACTTGAATGGCGTGGGGTTTCAAACAAGGAAGCATATACTCCTTTGCATGATTTACTGACTCCATAACTGCAGCTAAAAAGGAAAAAATTAAAGGGGAGGATTAGGTTCCTCCACTTTAATGATGTTTGATCTTGAAAGTCTTTTTTTTTGTTTTTTGGTTATCTTTTTTGTGATGATCCTTAAAGATTTTGCTTTTGTGATTCTGTGCAGCTTTATATGCAGCAGCCACAGGGAAGCCTGCTGCAACTCTGGATATGTTCCCTTCTTGGCCTATGAGATTCCAAGAGACCCCTAGAGTACTTCCTTTTTGTGCTTATCCTTCTTTGACCAAATTGTTTTTATATTGTCCTTTGTGCAATATAAGCTTGGACTTTAACTCAAAATAGGCAACGCTTTGTAAGGTTTGTATTAATATTTTTCTTGGCTTTATCTTTACATACAGGAAAACTCAAAATCAAGAGAAGAAGAGATCAGTACAGATTCAGGTTCACTTTCAAGTAGAGCTCAAGGCCATTTGGAACCAGAATCTCCTATCAGTAGAAAAGCATCCTCAGAACAAAATCAACTTCAGATAACACAACAACAACAGCAGCAGCAGCTTCATCAAGAAATGTCTAGTGATAATAATCCAAGAATTGAAAATTTACAAACTGAACTAGCTTCAAAGCCCAACACTGAAAAGGTTCCTTTTTCTCACTATTTATTGTAATTTCCTATTCTATTATCACAATATCCCAAGATCTCAGGAAAAAAGTGGCATCTTTATTGTGGCTCATAATTAACTATACTCCTTTCACTGTTTGTATAGATACAATCACAAATCCCAACAACTGCAAAAGAATACACCAAAGACAGAGTTTTTGATTTTCTGAATGATTCTCTGATTTTACATTCTGACATGAGATGAGAAAAAAAAAGAGAATCTTTACAGTACTTATACTGTTTGTCTTTTTAACTTTATCTTTTTTCTGTGGACTAATCATAACTGTAGTTTAAGTTACTGTTAATAACATCTCCTCTCATCCCCAGAACTGTAGTTAACTCTTTGTCCTTCAGGTCAGGTATTTAATCTTTCTTGGAACCATAAAAACCAGTATCACAAGAATGCCAGGTGATAAGATACCATGGATTAGCTCATGTAAACATCAAATGTTTTTTTAACATCAGAGCATTATAGTAATAATTAAACTAGATAGTGTCTATCAAAAAAATCATAGTACTAGTATTCCAAAGATTCTGCCTTTTTTGACACGTTATACCTTTTAGTAATTGCTTAACAAATTCAAAAGGAGATAAAAAAAAATAAGGGGAAAAGAACTAACTTCACGCTATTGAAGTATTCTCTTTTTTGAATATGTCTATTTTTTTCTAGATAATCAACAACAGAAATATAAAATTAGTTTTTTCTTTTGATATGTGTTGTAGAGAAAGGGTGCTGGTTCAACCTCAGAGAGGATGGCTGATCCTAAGGTGGCTGTCTAGCACTTACAATTAATAAACTTGTTTTTCTGAAATTAGACCTTTTTAAAATTATTAAAGTCTTTTTTTATCTGCTTGTTTACTGCAGACATTGAGACGTTTAGCACAAAATAGAGAAGCAGCAAAGAAAAGCAGGCTAAGAAAAAAGGTAGGACGATTTTCTTGCTTCCCATTGTAAAGTCAAAAACAGCCAATTTAGTTTGTACTCCCTCGGTTCCGTTCAATAAAAAATAACTTATTTCTAAATTTGATAACAATTTAGCTTAAACTTACAATTTTACCTTTAATAAGAAGTTTTTATAACCACACAAATACACTGAGCTCTTTTTGACTTGTTTAGGACCACAAATTCTAAAAGTTTTATTTTTTCTTAAACTTCGTGCCCAGTCAAACATGTTCACGTAAATTGGAACGGAAAAAGTATTAACATTATAATTTGTGCAGGCTTATGTACAACAGTTAGAATCAAGCAGGATAAGACTTTCTCAGCTAGAGCAAGAACTTCAACGGGCTAGATCTCAGGTTAATAATATTTGAAAATATAACTCATCTTTTTATTTTTTATTTTAATATAGAATAATAAATGCAAGTGGGTATTTAAAGATTTTCTGCTGACTGTTGTGGCAAACAGGGGGTTTTCTTGGGAGGAGGTACTTCTGCTGGTGCCAACATCAGCTCTGGTAAATTTTGAACTACTACCCCCATCCTTTTCAATGTCATTTGTGCCTTTACCTTAATATATTGTTGTTATTATTGTTTGTTACTTTTGTCTTATTTCCACTTTTTCTTGAGCCAGAGTTTATCGAAAACAACCTCTCTATCTTTATAAGGCAGGGGTAAGGTCTGCGTACACACTATCCTCTCCAGACCCTATTTATGGGATTACACTGGGTTCGTTGTTGATGTTTACCCCATCTGTTTTAATTTATGCGAACCTATCTTCTTTTTAAGTCTGTGTAAAAAAGAATGACCATTTTCCTTGTTTGAAAATAATTTACCTTTATACAATGATTTATAGCCATGCAAAATATATGTGTCTCATTTTACACCACAAGTTCAATAGTCCTATCTCTTTTCTTAAACTCCGTGTCTACCCAAATAAGTTTACATAATTTGAAAGAGAGAGAGTATTATTTATTTTCTCAACCAACCCATTCCCATTTTTTAAGAGCCACCAGGAAATATGGATTTAACTGATATACATTAGAAATATAATTAATTTTTAAAACCTATTTTAACTCGTTATAGCATGCCTTTTACTTTATTTTTTATAATGCTCATCAAATTAGAGTTATTATTTTAGGCCTATTATTCTTGGTGTACAAAAGGGATAAAAATAGTTTTATGTTGAATGTGGAGTCTTTGTAATTCAGTTTGAGTACAGAATGTTTGTCCCTTTCTTCTGTTCTAAACAACAGCATGCTCATATTTTTGTTGCAGGTGCTGCATTATTTGACATGGAATATTCAAGGTGGTTGGATGATGATCACAGGCACATGTCGGAGCTCCGAACTGCATTACAAACACATTTATCAGATGGTGATCTTAGGTTAATAGTTGATGGATATATAGCTCATTACGATGAAATTTTCAGCCTCAAGGGTGTGGCAGCAAAATGTGATGTATTTCACTTAATTACTGGAATGTGGACAACTCCAGCTGAACGCTGCTTCCTTTGGATGGGTGGTTTTAGGCCATCTGAACTTATTAAGGTAAGTGTTGGCGTTGCATGCAATTTTGTAAGAATGAGTTCCTTATTATTAAAGCCTATATGTTGTTTGTTGTGAAAATGAGCAGATGTTGATTGGACAATTGGACCCTTTAACAGAGCAGCAACTTATGGGAATTTATAGCCTCCAGCAATCTTCCCAACAAGCAGAGGAAGCCCTTTCCCAGGGATTGGAACAATTGCAACAATCTTTAATTAATACTGTTGCAAGTGGTTCTATCAATGATGGGATGCATCATATGGCTCTTGCATTGGGCAAGCTTTCCAATCTTGAAGGATTTGTTCGTCAGGTAACATTACTATGCCAATCATCATGTATGATCGTCGCATTTTAAGTGCATATATGTTATAGGCACATTCAACTATTCATGTTTTTTGTTCCAACTATATATATCAAGTCTAAAATGTTTACTACATATATATTTATATTAATTTGCACCTATTGTAACAAACCAATCATATTCCAGTAATACTATTTTTCAGTCCTCATAGGTGAACTCATAAGTAGTATATATAGAATTTGTTGGCATGTTTTGTCAAAGCAGTGTCATTTGGTTCCATTGAAGATCTTAATGAAATTCCTAATATATTGGTCCCCACAATTGAAATAATTGGCAAGCCAGAGCCTTGATAGATGCCCCTTTAGACCTGAGATTATGACTTTGTTATTTTCTATTATTTGTCTTCTTCCATATAGTACATTAAAGACACTTAATTATGTAACTCTAGGCATCACTTATCCTTTTTCGTTTTCGTTTGATTCCCTTTCAAGCGCCAGAAGGAGAATAAAGAACTCTGGTTAATTTGCAGATAAAGAAAACATGTATGCTTGATTTGATCAGTCTTCATTATCATACTTAATTTATGCAACATTTAATTTCATTGTCTAATTATCTGAAAGTGATGCATGTTCCAATAGAACGCCCTACTAGAGCTATCAGGAATTCCAATTATAAATATCATGTCAACATATTGCTATAGTTCAAAATAATGGAAAAAATACTACTAGAAAATTATTTAATGAAATGGAATATTCCAATGTATCTCATACAACTATACAAGACAACTTGGAGAGTTTCAAACTTCCAACCATTTTAAACATTGTTTTAAAGATTATGCCCTGCCTGCCTGCCTGCCTGACTTACGGGTCCATTTCTAACTTGTACTTGATTGTTATGGTTAGGGGTGTACATGGATCGGGTTGGTTCGGGTTTTATCAAAACCAAACCAAACCAACTATATCGGTTTGAATTGGTTTGGTTTTATCGGTTTTTTCGATTTTTTCGGGTTTTTTTGTTACATGAATATTATTTCAAACTTACTTTGTTAAAGTTATGATAAGTGAATATATGTTTAGTAAAAATTGAAAAAATTGACAAACATATGATCTATTAAAATATTCTTATTAGAGATTTTTTTTAATAACACATAGTAGCTATTTTATTAGCCGTCTAACAATAATTTTTCATTGATGTACGCTTTCAAGGTTAACCGATTTTAATAAATAAACATAAAAATTAATTTGATACCTAAATAATGATATGCTCTATTAATTTTAAATTATCGAAATACCATTTTAAATTCGAAAAAGATATAAGAAATTGACTTATGAATATGAAAGAACAAAAAAATGATTGACGTATTTCAATAACACTTGATAAAAAAATGATATAACCTATTATTTAAAGTAAATAAAAATGAATGCATTTCATTGTTCTATTAAATATACATCCATGGGAGGATCCCAAATATTTCTAGATATATTTTTAAAGAAAATTTTATATTAAATCTTAAAAGTATATATAAAAATTATATATTTATATGTCAGTTTGGTTCGGATTTTTTTACTCAATACCAAACCAAATTAAACCAAACATAATCGGTTTGGTTTGACTTTTCGGTTTGGTGCGGTTTTCCGGTTCGGTTTGAACACCCCTAGTTATGGTTTTGGTTTAGATAATATTTAATCAATTTTTTTTGTCTCAATTGTCTATATTATTTAATTCAGAATGTAGAGTTTTGACTTATTCTTTGTTAATCTAATCTTAATTCCAGGCCGATAATTTGAGACAACAAACGTTGCATCAGTTACACAGAATATTGACAGTTAGGCAAGCAGCCCGATGTTTCTTGGTGATTGGGGAGTATTATGGTCGATTACGAGCCTTAAGTTCTCTATGGTTATCTCGTCCACGAGAGTAAGATTCTATAATCTTGTAATGAAATTTTGTCATTAGACAAGGAAAAAGAATCAATATCTGAATGAATTTGGTCTTCCAATTAATTAGTATTGTAATGTTTTTTTTTTAATTATCTGTGGTTTAGGACACTGATCCCAGATGATAGTTCTTGTCAAACAACAACGGAGTTACAAATGGTACGCTCCTCTCAGAACCACTTCTCAAATTTCTGATCATATTACTCTTGATGATGATCAAATTGTATTTCTGATCAGAGCTACGTACTTAGACGATGATTAGGATTTTCTTTTCTTTTCATTTATTCTTTTTGTTGTTAGCTTCTTGATATTTCCATGTTATTACTGACTTGTCGTGTAAATGTAAAGAATCAAGTTTATGTGCATGAGAAAGCTGCCTCTAGGGTGCGTGCGATAATATGAAATTAATATTAAGCACCTTTATTTTCTGACAAGAGGGGTTGCTCAGACCGTCATAACCCCACTTATAACCCCAAGATCGTCGGTTCGAGTCACCAAAGCAGCAAAAACTCCCACAAAGGAGATCAAAGGGGAGGGGAATTAAAAGAAAGCACCTTTATTTTCTAGTGGAATAGGAAAAGAGAGAAAGAAGGGAGGAGTTACGTTGGTGTCTCAACTGTCTTCTTTTGAAGTATTCTAGTGAAGATGATATTTAGAAAGATGGTTGGTTGCTCTTTATTTCTGTGAAGTGGTTGAGAAAATTATTTTAAAGAGGAAGAGACAGAAAAGAAGCAAATTATTAGTTGGGTAAAATTGTCTCTTGCAAATGGAAGACATATGATGCTAATTAAAAGGGTGGCTTACTCTTGGCGTGCATGAAGAGACTATCAATTTTTGTATGAATTAAACTTAAAAACTTAAAACTTAGAATAATAACCTATAGAGATATTAAGCAATCTATTATAACCAATGAAACTATACTACATATGTTAATGGCGTTGTAAAATATTAAATACTAAGTTAAATTCATATTTTAATGAAGAAAGCATAGAGAGAGAGAACGTGACACTTTTATATAGGGGTGTACAAATAAACTGACAAATTGTACCAACCCGATAATCCGAGTCAAATCGAGAAAAAAAATCTGACTATGGTTTGATTTGATTTGGTTTGGTGTTGGAAAAAAAACCCGACCATATTTGGTTTGGTTTGGTTTTAACTAAAAAAAGTCAAACCGAAACCAAACCAAACCAACCCGACATTCTATGTATAGAAGTTTTAAATATATTTAATACATAAAAATAAAAATATTTATGATTGTATAGTTTATAAATATTTCTTAAGTTTTCATAGTTTTATCTTTTAACGTATTATTTCAAGCTTGGATTTATAATTTTTGGATGCTCCAATAAGCTAAGTTTTATAGTCCATAAATATTAGTAACTCAAATAAATCCTAAACCAAAATCAAATCAATACTAATGCTAATAAAAGACAATCAATTCAATTGTACTATGCATGAAAATAATGTTAGATATCTATTTTTAGTTTTTTCATGGTTTAAATAAAATGTATAACTTATTTTTCTTTTAGTGGTTAGTCATGCAAATAATAATACTTATTAGTCATAATTTTAAATTATGTTTGTTTTTATTATGTCTTATTAATAATATTTATTTTATGCGATTTTATTATCTTTATTGTTGAATATTTTTGTACAATGCCATGACTCATCTCATATTTATTATTTTACTGAAAAACACTTTATATAGTTCTGTCTTACTATGATTAAAGAAATATTTGGAGTACAAATTTTACATTTTATTCTATGAAGACTTTATGAAGAAAAAAAATAAAAATCCGAAAAATCCGAGAAAAATTGAGATTAAAAAATTCGACTTTTATTGGTTTGATTTGGTATTTAGATTTAATGACCCGATACAATTGGTTTAGTTTGGTAATTAGAAAATGCGAACCAACCCGACCCATGTACACCCCTACTTTTATATATGGGGAGGGGATATAGTAGAGGAGATTCAACGGCGGAGATAGAGCATTACCGTCAAATTCGGACAAACTCAGTAATTTTTGCTTAGATTTTATATTTTTATTGAAAAATACATAAATATATATATAAATATTTAGTTGTGAATCAATAATTAAAAATGAAATATGGGTTCGTTGGCAAACTTAAAATTCATAAACCAAATTCTAGCACCGCCTCTAGCGAGATTGCATATTTAAGTATGGCACACGCGTAACAACATGTGGATTCGCCATTGGGAAAGAAAAGATAAGCAAAAATGAGTTGCTATGAATACCTAATTTATCCACTACCATGATTTTGAGGAAGTTGTTTGCAACTTGTTTTTTTTTTTTTTTTTTTTTTTTTTTTTTTTTTTTTTTTATATATGATTTTTTGTTTGTTTAAACCTTCATTTGGTTTCATTATAAATTCACCAACTCTTAGGTTGGTGACAAGGAAGATAGTGCCTATACGAATAGATTTTCGACTTGGGATGACACTTCAAGTGTCAAGATTGTCAATTTTTATGTTAGGCTAGGAGGTGCACGGTAACTCATAGTTCGAAAAATATTATACTACTACCATAACAACGTAACCAATTTGAGGGGACAGTTAACAAAAGAACTGTAAAAATATCATAGTAATTACGAGTGGAAATGGAAGAAAAACAAGAGAATGAGCAAGTATTGAAGAATACATTACAAGGAACCTTTTGAAGGAAAAGTTATAGGAAACATGAGAGAAATTTCACTTAACCCCTTACCCAATTTACCTCTTGAATAGGACAGCCCTTTGATCTTAAATGCAACAGCAAAAAATGTGAGCTAATCATGAATTCTCGAAAGGTGAAAAAATGCCTTCAATTATGATGGATTTTATTATACGTTTTTGTCAAAAAAATGAAACATATTAAATTATTTTTCTAAATCATTTTATAACTAAGTACTACTTTTGATTTCCCTAGTGAGAAGTATTTTAAATTAAATTATGATAATATAATTAAATAAAGGGGAAAAATAACATTACCTGTCATTACCCGCGTGCTTTCACTTACCGAATTAAATTGTTATTGGATGCTACCAAATGATTTATGACCATATATTTTTGCTATTATAATCTCATGTCGTTATAGTAATTAGGTTTTCTTAATGATATGCTAATGATTGGTAACTTTTTAGTTTATAAAAAGGTGAAAAGGAGTTCAAGAACAATGTCCGTTCTGAGGAAAATGAAAGTTTCCCAATCAGAAAATGGAAGAAAGAAATAGTGGTTATAGTTATACCCTAAAAAAAAGTTACTTGGAAAGTACCAAAAAATTGTAGAAATATTATATCGTACGACACTTGTTAAACTTGAAGTTCTGTTTATAGAGCAAACAAAAACAAAAATTGAAGATTATCACTTTAAAAGCTACTTGTGTACTTTACCCGGAAAGTGCTATGTGATTGTTGAAAGAGTGATTTCTGCATGAAAATTAATGAGCTTCCACTCGATCGGGTCGTAAAACAAGCTAGAGGGCTGTAGATGTATAAATTAAAACAGAGGTCCTTAACCTAACTATGCTCCATTTAGATTCTTATTGGTTGCTAAATTTGATACTAGTAATGGGTTGGAATCCGTTGCCTTACCACTTCGCTAAGCTCTCGATTTCTACTCGATGCTAATTTGATACTAATAAAGTTCACGTATTAGATATAAGCGGATCAAATCGTTAACATCCCTGCACGATAATAAAGCACCGTCTCTCAAATCCTTGAATGATTATCATAAAAGCATGGGCGGATCCACGTGGTACCCATATGGGTGCTTTAGCATCCTGAACCCATTGCCTGTGACGTGGAACCTCTATATCTATGCAACTAGAGCCCGTTTGTATTAGCCGAAAAAAAGTAGTTCTTTTAAGTGCTGGAGCTTATTTTATAAATAAGTAGTTACCTGTTTGGATAAAAGTGCTGAAACTTTAAAAAAATTATTGAAGTGTTTGGTAAACAAGTGTTGGTAAGTATTTTTTCTGTTAAAAAGATAAAAATATTCTTAAAGCTGTTAACATTAAAAATGAGTTGATTACTATAATATATTTAATTCTGAATTAATAAAAATAAAACATAATTTATATTTTAATTTAATTTCAATCTGATTGATTACTTTAGATAATTTTTATAAATATAATTCTTGAATGCTCATTTTTCACCACTTTCATTCAAGTAAACTTCCATAAATTTCAAGCTTATTTTTGTATGGACTAATAAAGAAATGATGTCATACAAATTGGAGTAAGTCTTAAACCATATGAAACAACATATATAAATGGAGTAAATTGGATAGCTACACAAATCAATAATCTATAGCTTTCTCATTCTCTTTTTGGTCTGAAGCATCTATCCGACCAGCCATTTCGGGTGTTGCTCCAAAAAGAAAAGAAAAATAAAACTCAAAAGAGCAAGTAATGACTCTTAAGTAGACAAACGTCCAACTCGCCAGCAAGAGCTCCAAACCAAAAGGAGCAATAAGCAGAAGTATGTCGCATCTGAAGACTAGTGTTGCAAACACCTAAAGAAAATGCTAGAAGAGGAAAGAAAAATAATTTGTTCCTCTAACTAATAAAGATTCAGAATATAATGAAGTTAGGGAAAGTTATGGAATAAGAAAGCAGAGGCTGCAACAAAAATGGAGGAAAAAAAAGATGTATATTTTAGGGTTTTCTACTAAGGAATAATTTCGGGATTAAGAAAAATTATAAGGGATAAGAATTTAATATCCTTGGTCAAAGCAATATGGCTTTCAAGCCAATTTCGAAAAAGTTGGGTTTGTCTTTTTTTAAGCAAATTTTAACTTTTTTAAAACCCTTTTTTTGGTTGCCAAACAGTTTCAGAAGTTAAAACGTGCTTAAAAGCTGGTCCATCCAAACAGGCTCCTAATATCAACAACAATTTAAGTCAGCATTTGCATTAAGGAACTATCTTGTTATAAGCTGTACCGGATCGAAAACGCTCTCAACATTAGTCCCGTAAACATTCTCCCATAATCATTTTTTACATTAATCCCCTCAATATTTTATTCCTCGTTAAGAAATTAAGCTCGAAGTAACAATATGAAACAAGAAAATATACAATAGATGATGAGAAGAAGAGATAATTTTTTTATTTCTTTCAAGTGTTCAAGTGTGTGTAATGTGATATCCTAACCCTCTATTTATAGGATGACATTGAGGTAATAGTACAAAGGGATGTCATGAACATGTATTAATTATTGAAATCATAAGGGAAGATCCCGAAGGAATTGTTGGTAAAAATAGTTCTGTCATAACAACTTTGTAAATATTAACATGTAAGTCAATATCTAATGTAGTCACGTATAATCTGGTTAATTATATAATATGGTTTGACATTTCTATTGAAGAGTCAAAAGTTCTTAAAAATAGAGATTATGGAGATATGAAAGTT